TGGTCTTGTTTATGTCCGGTCTATCTCTTATCTGAATATACTGTATATTACTATCCATGATTTGGCAACATTGCAACTAGATGGAGAGAGTAGGATAGTGACGGTGGTGTAGTGATGGGAATAATTATCTGAAATAAAAGAAATGACTACTTAATGAACTATTTTCTTCATTAAAATTATGCAAAATTGCATTATGGCGATGAACAGTACCACAGTAACTTACAGAGTATGTTACATTCATATAATTTTGAACAATCTTTTGAATAAACAAGAAGAAAACAGCTTATAAAGCAGTATTCTATACCACAATAGTAGCACCCAAAATGCAACTTTGACACTCTATAAAATAGCAAGCAGAGGGTTCCTTAAAGAAAAAATGATATTTTCGTGCAAGTTACATCCTAGTCTTTCATTTTACAATACGAAATGAAATATTTGCGATATGCGCTAAAGTATAGTTCACACTTACTTTGCTTTAACATTTTTGGTGAATATGTCACCAATTTTTTTTCTTGTCTATGCGGTCAATGTGGTTAGCTCCGGAATTACCCAAAAATAAACATATGTAATAATGACAGTAAAGCAAAATATCTTAATTCGAGCAATCAACTTCAAATAATGGCAATTTGGCATTTGCGAACGACTCAGGTCCTTTATGAAGCGATTATCCCGAAAGTCGTGTTAAAATGACCGGTTACGGCCCTGTTAATGGTCGTACTTTAATATCCCCACATCAGATTACCATAATTCCATTTCATTATGTAATTTTTCCATTCCGCAGTCCCGTGGTACGACAGGGTCCACTGGAAGCTCTTAATTTTCTTAGGAAGCATTTACATCTTAGATTGCGCTATCGCATGATGCTCTATCGCTAATGATGTGCCCGACGGCTTGCGGGTTTTCGACTTGGCTGGCCTTCCTCTTTTTTTCAATTTTATTGCCGCTATCATCATTAATTCTAGATCCTTGGGAGACAACGCAACGTTGCACTGAATCGTTTCACGCAGTAGAAGTACGCACCAACGATGCTAGAGCCCAGTTTGGTCTTCTTTGCTACTTTGGAGCTCGGAAACTCCTCGATGGATTTCTCGAAAAGTATTCATATGATATCTTTGAAAATTTGGTTGCACTTCCGGCTATACCGGAAGTTGATGACAACTTGCACACCCTGTATATTACTCGATATTCGGATTCTACATAAAATTCTAATAACATTTCAAGTACAATCTTCTATACCCAAGTCTAACCGTTTTTGACATATTTCAAATTTCAAAAATGACGTTTACAGTCCCTAAAATAATTTGTGCATTTCCCCTATGTAGGACACCTTATTGTTTAATGTGGATTGATTTTCTGGTAAACAGGGATATAGTTTAGTAGACTTTGTATGATATATCGGTGGTAAATGAATTAGTGTAACAGTCGAATGTCAAGAATTGCCAAAAGTCCATTTTTTTAAATAAAAATCCCCTATTTTTATAAGTATACTAAGTGACATATAAATCCGAACACTCAGTTTAAATGGTTTTATTTTAATAAAATTTTGTATAAGTACTTAATGAAGCATAACAAGTAAATGATAAAAATTTCAAAATGATTGCACTGCTTTAAAGCCCTTTCACCTTTAATAATGTGTGGATGCACCCTGATGTGCTACGCATTCTCCAACGCGCCTAGGCATGCTTCTGATCAGGTGGTCAATGTCCTCCTGTGGTATCTCATTCCAGGCAACCACCAACTCCTCTCGAAGTGCTTCTAGAGTCTGAGGAGGACGTTGCAAATTGAGCAATCTCCTACCCCTCATATCCCACACGTGCTCAATTGGGGATAAGTCGGGAGATCTTGGTGGCCATGGTAACAATGTGACATCATTATGTTGAAAGAAGTCTATTGTGACTCTTGCAACATGTGGTCGGGCATTATCTTGTTGGAAAGTTGGATCTGCCAGGGTGTCAAGATAGGGTAAAAGATGGGGTTCTAGAACTTCGTGGATATAACGCTGTGCGTTCATGTTACCTCTGATCAAGATTAAAGGTGACCTGGAACCATAAGCTATAGCACCCCAAACCATAACTCCAACAGTGTGATGAACATGTCTTTCAACAAAAAACTGTGGATTCCTCCTTTCACCACGTCGCCTTCTAACCCTGGCACGACCATCGTGCATGCCTAAACAAAATCGAGACTCGTCACTAAAGACAATACTGTTCCATTCCTGATCCCAGAGTGACCGTTGTCTGCACCACTCAAGGCGATTACGTCGGTGTTCTCGAGTTAAAGGGAGGACCCAGTGTGGCCGGTATGAAAACAAGCCAAAACTTCTCATTCGTCGGTAAACACTTCGCATGCCAATAGGTCTTCCGTGTTCAGCAAACCATTCATTTGCAATGGACCTGGTGGTGGAGAAACGGTCCCTTAAGGCCAATAATCTTAGGCGGCGATCTTCACGGTCTGTTGTTCTACGGCGGCGTCCAGTGCCCCTTGCTCTTTGCGTACGGCCTTCTCGAAGCCATGCCTGACAGCACCTAACCACAGTGTCTACACTTCTTTGCACTCTAACTGCAATTGCCCGAAAAGAAAGTCCAGCTTCCCGAAGTCCCACTATACGGCCCCTATCAAACTGACTAAATTGACGAAATCGTACAGGTCTCCGTACTCTAGGCATCGTAACCGATCGTAAAGGATGTCAAGAACCAAAATCCGCCAATGTTGATTCTTTTCTGCGGCTGAAATATTCATTTTTAGAGCGTTAGTGAATTAAAAAAAAGCAGTATAAAAACCGGAATGTCCAACTGATAAGGCTGAAAATTTTTTCACTTGTTATTTACAGTAAGATAAATACATTTACCAACTTTTATTAAAATAAAACGATTTAAAGTGGGTGTTCGGATTTATATGTCATTTAGTATATATCGCATCAAGCATTAAAAGTTAGCATCACTTTATACGGGGTTATCCATCCCAAAAATGTTTACTTTTCGAGTAATTTGCAATTTATTACTTTTCTGTTGTAAAACTTCTATAAGTACAGATTTAGTTTTTTAATTTTTTTTTTTTTTGTTATACGTCAAATAAAGAAAAGATGGCTAACCACACGAGATAATAACCTAATTTGCGAGCAAATTGAGCTTTCAAGGAAAGCAAACATCTTTGATTAAAAAAAAAATGATAATAAAAAATAACCCGCTTAAATCTACAGGGTCGATTTTATACTGAAGCGAGCGAGAGAGGGGGGGTTATCACACTATTCCGGTAGCAAAGTCCGATGTTCGCGGCTCTACCTGTTTCTTTCACTCATACCTTTGTCATTTCTAAACCGGTTTGTGACTTTGATACCTCATTTGAAAGGTAATGAAACGTAGATATTTTAAAATTGTTTTGCACGAAAAATTTGTAGGTGATTGTTTCTAGTAAATTGAGTTTTTGAGATGAACGAACATTTTTTTTTAACAAAAACTACTTTGAAGCTTACTGCATGAGATATCGTCAATCATGTACATTTGAGTATATATTTTAGAATATTTTTATTGTAAAATCAAAAAAAATCAAATGAAACACCAAATTTTCAAGTTTTATGACTTTGTTAACACGTAAAGGACGTTAATTTTATAAAATCTTAAAAATTAGTATAATTCAAAAACGGCTAATTTTCGGACAGTAGTTCCTATAGTAAAATCAACTCAGATTGGCTTGTACTGTCTCCCCCCGCCGGCTCCGCATCTATTTTCCCGTCACCCTGTATATTTAAATGTTGAATATAAGGATACAATTTCAGAGCTGCACGAATATTTGTTGACAAGTTATCGTACGATTGAAGAAAAAAGATGCATCAAAAATTCACAGAAAATGCATTTAAAAAAAAAATTGATAACCACGAAACAGTATTAAGGATACAGGTTGTTGAAAAAAAATGACACGCGTCGATAAGTATTGAAATTTTGAAGTGTAATGGACATCGCCTGTAATTTTCCCTGATATACCATTCCATAACAGTACAGAGAAGTTATGTAAATGTGATTCCGTAGACGCCATGTCTGTTTTGACTTTTCGAGTCACGCAGGGTATTTAACGATTCCCGGTACTGCATATACATATTTCTACTTTGGATTCGTCAAAACCAGCAGCGTATCATCCGTCACCTGCAGTACGCGAACGTATGACGGATCGGTCGTAAAATTTTCTCTTTACGAAAAACTATAAAATCGCAATTTTTATGTCGCTGATGATGGTCGTGATGTCGTTTTTATCGTCTTCTGTTTTTGTATGAACCGAATCAGGAGCCAGTTGAATTATGTATTTAGGAGTCGCATAAATCTCGTATTCTAAGCGGAAGCTTGTAAGTTTGCTACTTAGTATCGTCAAGTATGGTCAAGGTCTTCCAGTAGACTCTAGTTTTAACGTGATAGGGAAAGGCAAGCCTTATTTTATGGAAAAATAAATAAACATTAATAAAACCTATAACAAAGACAGAAGATACTTAAGTACAAAATGCAATGTCGTATATTGTATAGTTGCTAAGTCACATCCGTGTCAAATTTCACTCGATTTGGTGGCATACTTTTCGAAAAAGTCTAATTTTTGTGAACGGGCATTCGCTATAATGCAAAAAAAATTCTATTGCTTGTAGAGGCTTTATTTCCAAATAGTATTCAAATTCCTTCTTCCAGAACACGTTGTCCAATGTTTTAAGCAAATGATAAACGTCCATTGACGACAGAAAATTTTTTATAGCTCAATAAACGCAAACTATAACAAAACGTGACGCCTCGACTTTACAGCATTTAAATAAAATAGATAGTCATTTCGTACGATAAAATTACATATTCAAGACAACAAGTCGTATTTTTCTTATATTTACTGCTGTTTAGGTTTATTGTACTCTTCTAAAACGTCCTACAAACTTTTATGTGAGAGTAAATTCTGTAACGATACGTGTCTGGGATTATATTAGATTGAACATAAAAAGTAAAACATTTCACAATACGCTGTCGTTGAGATTTCAAACATCTCATGACGTGAACTTGATTGACGTTAATGGCCAGTCATTCAGGTGAATCCCTATTACAGGCAAGCAATGCTATCGAAATTCTCGTATTAATGATCTTTACAGAAACGCAAAAAGTGCAATCGTAGACATGTACGCCATAAAGGAAACGGAGCAAAAATAGTAGGATTGGTAACCCGAGCTTATTGGCTTCATCAGGCCCAAATGGATGCACACAATTGAGGACTGTGACTTCGGTATGTTTTTAAGAGATATATCTTTAGATTAAGGTCAATTTCTCACCTGTAAGTGCTACGTTTCTTTAAAACAACGAATCTCATTACCTGCGATCTCGAATTAATATAATAATTTCATAGAAACTCATGCTTTTGAATCAGTACCACTGTTTTTTGGGTATGTGCATCGAAAATACTTCCATCAAGTTAAACCCGTATAAAGATGTGATGGGGATTGGTTTTTACCATTTGGGCCTGATGAAGCCGAGTGCCAGAGAAACAAACTTATTTTAAATAGGTTCAAAATGGTAACTGTAAATTAAATTGAGAGGTTATGAGATTGCTGAAAGCTTTGAACCATGTGCTTTGATTCGATGTTGTTTGCAAAAAATAACTAGTGTATTTTATGCATTATTACAGAACAAAGATATCCTGGTTGTATATTATGCGTTAGCTTACTATACAGGGTGTCCCGAAAAAAGTGTGCAATATTCTACCAGCGGTTTATAGAGCTTAAAATAGGAAGAAAAGTTTATATAAACATAGGTCGACAAAGGGCGCTACGGTCTTTTAAAGGGGTTCCCCTGAAGATGGTTTTTCCTTAATATTTCCGAAACGTGTTGAGATAAAGACATAAAATTTGGCATTCTAGCCTAGTTTTTTATGCTGGATTTAATGATATTAACAATTTTAGACAGTTTTGTTTGGAAGCGTATATAACAGGGGCGGACTCAGGTTATTTTAGCCCCAAAAAGTTTGTGTGATTCTATTTTTTAAATTCAATTTTAGAATTTGAAAATTTAGGGTTATCTACATAAAAAAGGTACTCTTATTGAATATCGATAAATTGTGCCATTTTTGAATAAAATCAAACTAAAATATTTGTCACATGATATCAAATCGACTGCGAATTTAAACGAATTGTTGATTATACATAGTTAGCCATGACTGCAAACAAAAGTTGTTTTGATTGAGTATATCCAACCGGATGTCTTCTTTTTTAAACAAATTTCAATTTCGTTCGTAGAAAAAAATTATTTCTTTTGTTTTTGCCTAAATGTTGCAATACAAATATGTATTTATGTAATATTTACCAATTATTAAATTAGTTTTTTCGGTGCAATGGCTAATTATTCAACAATTGATTTAAATTCGCAGTACATTTCCTATAATGTGACAAATTTGTTAGTTTGATTTTATTCAAAAATAGCACAATTTATCGATATTCAATAAGAGTACCTTTTTATGTAGGAAGCCCTAAATTTTCAAATTCTAAAATTGAATTTGAAAAATAGAATCACACAAAAATTTTGGGGCTAAAATAACCTGAGTCCGTCCCTGCTACATACGCTTCCAAACAAAACTGTCTAAAATTGTTAATATTTTTAAATCCAGCATAAAAAACTAGGCTAGAATACCAAATTTTCACATTATCAAGAACGACATTTTCCCTATAATAATTTTTTATTCGCGTCAATAAATACAGTGGTTGAAGTTTTAGAGGCAGATGAAAATTTTACCACCAATGTTGCTTCTCCCTTTCCTAACTTTTTTAATTCCCGGACGAATTCAAAAAGTTTGTACTTTCATTGTTAACAATATACATATTGCATTATGAAGAAATTACACAAAGTAGACCTCAAAAAAAATTAAAATACATTAATTATTATATTCTTGTATGTGATTCATGACTTTTATATTCAAGAAACGTTTGTCGATTGCTTAAGATTTTTCGGCTGATTACATCGAAATCCCAAATGCCCGTATATTCACCCATAAAGCGTATTTTAGGAATCACAGCTACCTTTATATTTCAAGTCTGGCACTGCCAAGTGTATAGATAAAGTTATCGAATAAAATGAATAAAGTATATTTGTTGCTGAAATCACCACATAATTACGTCTTAATAAAGGAAAACAATCAGTGTTAATGACGATATCAGTTGCGTTAGCTTCTGATAAAACAATCGTCCCAGTTTCTCTCATTATACAAAATTATCAGTCGGCCGAAACGTTTTTACTACATCCACAAAATCGAATCGCTCGGATTATCGTTCAGTTACAAAATATAATGTGTTTGACCTTTTATTTTATATCCTAAACAACAAACTAATATACAGTTTGATTGTAAGCAAAACTGATAGTCGGCGTAATTTAGATAAAAAAAATTATTTTGTTGGAATCAATTTCGAATAAAATCAATATTATTATTTGCGTCCAAGTAAATTGATGAAATCATTAGGGATATTATCTGGAAAACATATATTTGAATGAGTTGTATTGCGAAATTGCGATAGTCGAATCTAAATTGTCATGTATCGTTCAATTTGGTAACAAGTGTTTTGATTAGTGAGTATCAATAATATTGAGTCATCGATGATTTGAGGTTGGCTTAGAAGCTAGTTGCAAAAAGAACTGATACGCTCAGTTTGGGCCTATACAATTGTAGTAGTATTTTATTTCTGTTATGCATACCTTTAACAAACCTGATCACAATTTATTCACGAATAGGGACATATCTCCTAGCTTAAGGTCACTGTTTAGATCATATTTGTTATGCAGGATGCAATATGTTGAGTACGAAGTGATATATTTTTTCAGGTGTGCCTCAAGGCTCGTGTCTGGGTCCCCTGCTTCTCATTATTTTTATTAACGACATTGTTAGTGATATCGATTGTTACCATTTGATTTACGAAGACGGCTTGAGGATTTGTTGCGGTGTCGTAAGCTGCTTGACTACAGGGTGATTTCGACAAGGTATTATAATGTAGTGTTATGTCATAAACTAGAAAGATGACTCACATATAGGCCTGGAAATTCTTCGCTCCTCATATAGAACAAATTCTTCTAGCTGTTAGTAAATCTTATGGATTTGTGATATGGAACACCAAGGAGTTCACTAACAAGCAGGCAATGCTCATGATTTTCAACTCCTTCCTGTTATCCAAATTAGAGTATGAAAAGAAAGTATCTAACCCCTGCTATGACCGCGTGTAACCCTTTGGAGAAACTTCTTTTAAAACCGAGATCACCTATTCACCTATTGTACGTATAATTCCATCTGTGTAGGTACTATCTCTATAGGTACTATCTGTACCAGTGTCGCTCAAAGTGGTCCAAATGGACAACGGGAGACTCAACTTGGGTCTACGTTCGCATGAAAGAAGTGTATACATGGTTGTGTTATTATTTTTATATTACTCTGCTACTTCTGGAAAAGGATTGGACGCAATACAGTGTCAAAAAGCTGCTGAAGTTTATAAAAAGATTATCTTCGTTTTACATGAACCAAGACGAATTGGTTAATTTATCCATATTATCAATTGAAAGGAAGCTTTCTACGGGAATTGATGTTATTGATAACCAAACCAAAGCGTGAAAACATTTATAATAATCATATCATAAATAAGCAAAACCTATCTGATACGATTTGAAGATGTATGAATACATGTATTTTTCTGTTAAAGAAACTATTATAAATTTATTAAATGATAATGTTACGTCTTTTTCTCTAAATAATTTATTTAAACATAATAATACAAAATGTATAACCGGTTTATACAATAATTCCCAGTGCTTGCAAATAGTGGCCCCGAAAATAAGAAAACAATAATCAATATCTATAAAATATACACTGCAATGTTGCTCATAATTTCAACAAATAGATTAATTCAAATTTTAAAAATATTTCAGTTCTCTAACAAAACTTCTATAATTATTTAAAACTTGTTATTCTACTTTTATAGTGTTATGTCACAATGAAAAATATTTCAATTCCTTTAATGTTATCACACTATTTTTTATTAGGTATATGAAATCTTGTTGCCCGTAATTTTAATCATTATAGGAATTAAAGCGCAAAAATATCTAATAAATAAACGATACTTTCCATCCAATTGTGTTACTATTTTTTTAACCATTGTAGATTAATCAATTTTTTAGCAAATGGGGGTCTCATTATTTTTTCCGCTCCGTACCTCCGTTGGGCTTTGTCAGTGGCGTAGCGAGGGGGCTCTGGACCCCCCCTCCCCCCGAAATACTGAGACACATTAAAAAATTAATTGAGCATGAAGCAGGGAAGAGAAAGAAGAGCTACGAGATTAGTGCTGTAACTTAGAGCATTATATTATTTTATTAATTATTCATTTGCGTAATGTGAAACTGTTATATATATACCTATAATTTAGCTACGCTGTTGTTTTTCTAGACTTAATCATTTATTTGAAAGAGTTTAAAGCTCCGGACGAACTACAACACCATATTATTTATGTTTATTAGTTACATCATGATGAGGAAATAAAAATATTGAAAAATCATTTATCAAGATTTCCTTGGACATTTTTTTTTTCGATTCTGAGAAGTGTGTGTGTGAAAATTAGTTTAAAACCCTCAATTTAGTACCCTGTATTTCAAAAATTTTCCCGGCCCTCCCGGTTTTGCACCTCCCGAACGAAATTCCTGGCGGCGCCACTGGTCTTAGCCGCCACTTTAGAAGACAGAAGGGTAATCCAAAGAATTGCCAAGAACATTAAGAAGTTTGGATAGCCCAATGCCTGTAAATTAAGGTACATAATAGGCGTACCGGCTAAGTGCCAACTACCAAGGAACCTAACCCTTTTGTTACCCAAAAGAAGACAGACGGGTAAACAGATAAACTTGAAGCTTTCCTGAGGTACAGAAGAGGAGCAGACCAGTACACGCATAGGAAGAAGCCAAAAGGGAGTTTTGATAAGCATGAGGTTCCGTAACTGGAAAGATTTCCAGAGGCCATGTCAATCCTCTGGATATTAGATGATTTAAACAGCGTGCAGGTGTCACAGGTTGATAACCAACATTCATGTATCCATCAATTTTTAAGACAAGTGAATTCGGCAATTTTCAACGATCAATTTCTATAGGTATTCATATGATCTAGGTACTCACCGCCAGGAAACCTATGCGGAAATATCCTTCCATGCCTGGAGAGTAGCCAGGGATACAACGGATAACTGTCTCTAGGTTGAGCGTGTTGCGCCAACGGCGAAGGTTGACCCGGAAAACCATGTTGTCCGGAACTAAGAGCCGCTGCGAGGGCAGCCCCTTGAAAATGGGCGGCCAAGGCGAAGGGATGCTGCCCAGGATGGTTGTGCATCATCTCCGGCTGCAGGAAGCCGTTCTTGGGCACTAGGTTCGGGTCATAGGTGGGACTCGGCCTCACCAGGGTGTGCGCCGGGATCCCAGGCACCATGATAGGAGGTTTCGGCGAAGTATTGGGGGTCCTTTGAGGCGAAGCCGCACTGGAATGGTTCAACCGGTTCTCAGAGTCACTTGTCGGCGACACGGACGTTTGTATAGGCGAATGTTGCGGGCTGGATTGTCCGCCGACGATCGAGTCTATCGAGAAGCCTATTTTAGGCTTCGAGGGAACGGCAACCACGGGAGTCGGTGCCAGAGGCATCATGTTGGGCCTAAGCAGGGCTAGCATCTAACTCATATCACGGCACACCACTTCCACAAACGCGCACTGTAGTCCTAATATGCCTGCCTGAAAACCGCACGAGTTCTACCGTCTCTGTCACGTTTCGAATAATAGCCACCAACCTGGAGCGTCAGCGCCCGAGTCTCAGCCGTAGTGGTGGGGGGACCAGCCGAGCCATCATTGGTGTACGCCCCGCGCCGCGATTGGCCGGACGCGGACGCCCAGTGCTAACAGACGCCTAGAAGGTGGGGTGCCGGACCAGTTTAGGTGGCTAATATCTCCGGAACAGGTTGTAAAAGGTTTTTATGCCAGGGGTATTTGTTTTTCCCGGTAATTGACGCCCATTGCTGCGCGCGCACAGGAGGAGGAGTGGCTTGATCGGGTAATTAAGGTGTCAACTGTTCGGTTTTTGCTGCTGGAGTGCCCTTGCGTCGAATCAATTAGGTTCAATGAGGGGAAATGGAAAGATTTGGAGTTTAAGTGAGATATGCCGATAAATACGTTCAAAAAATTAAATCAAGGCACTTTAAGGAAACAAATACTAATGCATAGATGCTGTCATATGTACAGGCTGTCTATTTTATAGTTTTTGTCTGAGTCCAATCCAATTTAAGAGAAGAAAAAGTTTCTGTTTAAGAAACAAGATTTTCTGTCCAAGATTCATTGATCATTGATTCATATATCGACGTATTTGTATGCCCTGATTACACAGTCTTCTCCCTTCCAAAAAAATTAATTTGAATCGTTCATGCTCGGGTCGGCATTAAATGCAGACGACGGATTTTATTTGCAACTCAAGAAATTAGTTACATTACTTAATATCAAACCTGGCTTGGTTGAGGAGAGAGAAGTAGAATTATGAATCGTTATAATTACATTGTGTGTCCCTTAATTCTTTGCATTCCCAGTCAGAGAGAATAGAGATATTCCTATTCGGTGAGGGCAGTAGTTACATGGTCAAATTCAACCTAGGCTCGGGGCTAATACACAAACATCTAGCCCATAATCTAGCCTAATAATCGAGGCTCTCAGTACCCATTACTCTGAGTACTCTGGACTGGATTTAACCTTTTTCACTTTTTTTTCAACGCTGCTTGACTGTCATTAGACCATATATGGTAAACATTCTCTGTTTACATGTTTATTATAGATATAAATAAAATCGCAATCTAGTAGTTGTCATTGCAAAATTCGCATAAGGTATAATAATCCACAAGCGTTTTGCTGTTTTGCTAATATTTGCCTGAACTACTGCAACCTGTATAACACTAGGACGGTTTTTGTATTGCAGACTCGTGGGATATTAATTGGAGTGTGCCTACTTTTAACAAGATGTGATGGAGGAAACATGACGTAGCAAAAAGGTCGCGCTTGGTTAGATACCTACATGTTTGTCCGAGAACAGCGAGGTGTCAGGTTCAGTAACGTTTCATTGTCGATTCCGATGTCCAAGAGGTACCTATAGCCTGACCATGGATCGAAAATGGTACAAAAGTGTCAGCAAAGTGAATTCCGTCGCTAGGAGACGTAGATAGTATGAACCACAGTAGTTGAGTTTGAATTTTGTAGAAAAAAATCACAAAGTAATACAGGAAATTGTCGTTGGAACAAAGGAATTCTACTCTAACAGATGCGGTTACGTATAGTGTGTTTTAAGCAGATGCAAATTTAAGATAGTGTACACAGAGTAAACAAAATGTATGCTCCTAAATCCATGGTGCTTCTAGTACGGCTCCTCCCCTCTCGTCAACTACAGGGTCCGTCAGAAAGTACGCATGTTTTTTAAATGAGGTACAGTCAAAATAAGTATGGGAAAAATATTTTATTATATCAAAATACTCTTTTTGAGTAAAACAAAATTTACGTTCTAAAAACTATGTCGGTCATATGCCGCATCAATGCAGAAATTTGGGTTACTTCTCTACTTATTTCCTCCTTCAAATCGACGAGGCTCGCTTTGGTAAACTTTTGATTTCAGGTAGCCCCATAAAAAAAATCACACGCTGACAGGTCCGGGTAGAGAGGGGGCCATGGAATATCACCATGACTTGAAATGAGACGTCTTGGGAATTTTTGCCGAAGAAGTTCCATCGAAGTGCGAGCTGTGTGAGATGTTGCCCCGTCTTGAAACACTAAATCCTTCTTCAAGATGCGACGTACAGATGACGCGTGGATCCCTAGGAAACTGGCACGCAAACGGACGGAACGATTCGGGCTTTGCAGCGTGTCAACCCTCAGTGTGTCTACGTTTTCGGAGGTTCTAACAGTACGGTTTCGCACTGGCGATTTTTTCTTCATCACATTACCTTTGTGTTGAATGCTTCCACCCACCTCAAAATGGTGTTACGGTCTGGTACTGTCCCACGACGTGGAACACGAAAGTTCGAACGACAGGCTCGCCATTTTGAAAGTACCGACGTACAGTGAACACACGATGCTCAACGTTCCAAACCATCTTGCCAGCTGAAACGGCACTCCTCCCACTATCCAACACGCCCTTCCCCACCGATAGGGACCAGCCCACTCGATGTAGTACCCATTCGAAAAACATGCGTTCTTTCTGACAAACCCTGTACATCCAAAATCCTCCCACATACCACGCTTTTGATCAAAATAAGGTCCTTTACAGGCCAAAGGGTTCGACCGTCTCCTAAAAATCGATAACTCGGCATGTCCACCATTAATTCGTATATTTTCCACCTGTCAAACGCTGAATCTAGTAGGCGATCGCCGGTTCGTTCCGCCCGGGAAACAACTGCCGATCACCCGATCGTCTTTTGTCCCGCTCAATTAGTCTATCCACCGCCTACTGCGTCGGTGACAATCGACTATCGCTCATGCTTCCGTTGCCTCAGTCATGCTTACATGGAAATACGTCATATTTTATTACCATGGCGGAGCGGGGAGATTTATCTCTATCTGTCGGCTTTTTTTCACTTCATAAATTTATATGTGGAGGGAGTATTGCTATTGCTGATGTCATACTTATCTTGGATTCGTGATAATCCTTCTAACCATTCTCTATTTATCCTAGCAGATCTTAAACAAATAGCACTTACATTTATATAAAAAAGGATAACTGAAGGTGATTATTCTGAAACAATGTAACAAATTTCTTTGGCGAGAATTTTTTCATTCATTTTTTTTCTACTTTTTCGCTAATTTTTCACCACCCACTAGCTTTGTTATTTGAAGCGTAGTGGTTTACGAAAAGGAAAGTCCCAACTGTTTATAAATCGCCTAAACGTCTAACAGCAATTCTAATTCAAATTAAATTCACCTCCCCGGGCTGTGGCTGGTTATCTCCGGAATCTAGACGTTCGCCTAATTAACCACACTAATCACTAATTACTGAGCATACGCGGTGATGTCTGACACGCTAATTATTTCTAATTCGCCCGGTATTTCTCCGCTCCGACCATCGTACGCTCCAGATCTGAGTCCGCTTCAACAAGTTGACAGGCTGTAATTTCGTCAGAAACGGGGCCTAAACACCGTCTGCCCTTAAATATCGTGCAGATGTCGAGATGTCAAATGTCAAAATGTGTATTGGCGCTGTGAGTGGGAACATGATGAACTAGAATGCGGGCTTATTTGTAGTATTTCTTTGTATTTAAGTGGGTATACGTCAATAAGCTACGGGGTCTGTTAATTAGGTGTTGAGATTTTTTTATAATTAGATACAATTTAATATTGTCACCCTGAAAATAAGGTCCTTCTGTATTTAAGAATAGTTTGTTTAAAGTGATGTCGAATGTATTTATACAGGGTGACTTTGAAGTTGAGTCATTAATTTTCAGATAATGATTGTAGAAGGAAGATAAACCAAAATATGTGTGTAAAAATAAAAAAAATTAAAAAAATTTTTTACCTTGTTTTATAAAGTATCCTCCCGACAAGTATTTCAGTGCGGACCTGTATTTGATCGTGAGGTCTTGGAACACCGGCATGCCGTCCATATGTGAGGTCTTAAGTCAAATGATTCACGAACCCGTTGTACTACATTAACAAAGGCACGAGGGGTTGGTTGCACTCGATTGGGAAACCGATCCGCATAAACATGTGCCATTTTTTATTTCTTGTGAGCCACGCAACAGACACCACTATCCACTACCGACTGACACTGACTGTATACAGCTGAATGAAATAATTGTAAAAACATCGTTCCAAATTCTTTCGCTTTTTTGTTTCCGATGCGATGAACCGATAAGGCGGATTATATCCGTTGTTGCCAAACACGAGCACATAATATTATTATTGAGACAGGGCGGTACTCAAACTTCCAAAGGGCTATAACTTTGTTACTTTAATTTTACCAGAAAAATGGTAAAGGAAAAAAGCATTTCTTTTGATCAGATCTACTCACTGTTAAAATAAATGACTCAACTTCGAAGTCACCCTATACAGGGTTATCCAAATTAAGTGTCCACCATTAGTAACTTTGTTATTAGTGAAAATACAAAGTTGTTTGAATTAGCAAACTAGTAGCATTTTTAACGCTGGTAAAAATGAAAAATAAAAAAAAACAATTGAGAGTCGTTATTTTGATTGTTTTCAGTAAAATAACATTTTTTTAAATGGAAACCCCTGTATATTATATTTTTTTCTGTTAAAGCATCAAATTTTAAACAAAAAAGCTTACAATAACTTTTCTCCTAGATTACAAATTGTTGAAGTTATGGCCTCCAATCTGAAACAATTAAATTGTATCGACAAACTTTATTTTCAACATCAACTTATAATCTTACAAAATACAATAACAATTTTTTTTAAAGAAGATGCTCGAAAACACCACCTTGTTCTTCAATACATTTTTGGGCTCGTTTTTCAACTGCTCGAACTGTCTTAAGTATGGTCCTACCATCTATCTGGGTTATCTTTTCCCTAACTGCAGTCTTTAACGCGTCAAGGTTATCGTACCTTCGCTTGTAAATTTGGTTCTTTAAGTAACCCCACAAGAAGTAATCAAGTGGGTTTAGATCTGGTGATCTGGGAGGCCACTGTAT